ATCTTCCCCTAGAATGTAAGCTCTCTGAGGGCAGGGGGGTTATCGCGTTCACTGCTACATCCCTATCCTACAACAGCCTGGCCACTTAATAAGTAGTCGTTGAATGAAATTGTAGATGTTGGCCAGATGCAGTTACTTTTATAAGACTGGGTGTTGCAATATAGAGCTTCTCTGTTCTTCTCTAGGGAAACAATGGAGAGACCAGAAGCAGTAACAGAGAAAATGCTATTGTTGTGGACACTTAGAAGTGAAACTTGAAACAACAGTTTTCTAGTGAGTACCTACTTAGGTACCAGATGTAGTAGGTCAAATAACCCTACAAGGGAGGACTGAGGATTGTGCCTGTGAGTCAGTATTCTGGTTCCCATTTCACAGCTGAGCTCACACACCAAGTGAGGTCCTGCTGACGAAGGCCCTCCTTCCTGGGTCAGAGGACAACAAGGGGTAACTGAATCTCGCTGTGGAGCTCAGCAGGAAAGAGTTTTGTTGTATCCAGCATGAGGCAAAAATTGTCCCAAGAATTTCAATCAAGTGTTCATCGAGCTGAGTGTGGTTGTTAATATTTGGGTCAGGGACAGGAATGAATAATCAGTGATTCTCTATGAATTGAAGGGGGAGGTAGAGACAATGGTTAACCTCCGTCAACCAGGATGCCTTCTTAGGACTCTGCTGGAAGAAAACTACACGGGAAACATTTCATATCTGTATTTTGGTGAGCTGTGTTGCTAACGGCTGTATTTGCACCGGGCCTCTTCAACCCCCATTTTCTAGTCTAGAAAATGCATTTCTGGGCTGTGTGTGGAGCATTACCTAGGAGTTTGGTTTCCTGGGTTCCTTTCATCTGCTCTCCTGCAATGCTGGGGGAGCCTAGCCTGGTCTCCGGTTTCTGACTGGAGTTACCACAGGCTGAGAGAACTGCTAGCCACTGAGCTGTGAGTAATTTGCTTTTGAGAAGTAAATAGAACCTCGCCAGTAGAGAACCCAGGGGTGTGGCCAGTAGTTCTTTTCCCAGGCTCCTCCCTCCCCACCCCCCAAATGACCTTAACCTTCTTTCAGAGCTGGAGAGCAGCCAAGTCTGGCCTAAACAATACTCTCAACCTCATTGGCTCTTTTGCCTTGCAGCCACCGCCACCCCCAAGTGGCTAAGGCCCTTCCCACTAGGCCTCTCAGTGGGGTCAAGGTTTTCTAACTACTGAAAGGCAAACACCGAAGGAAGGGTGAAAAATATTTAGTGTCATGACCTTTAAAGGATCAGTATGTGGCTCCTGCAATTGAGAGGCAGGGTGGGGACTTTGTCCTGCGGTGGATGGACGTCTTCAAATGATACAACCGAGGCCAAAGGGATGCTTTTGGCAAATGTCCAAAACCTGACTGGTGCCACCCCAGATCTCAGGATGGATGTAAATGTCACCAGGCACCCTTGGAAACTGCCAGCGAATACCCACAGGGGAAAGAAGTGGCATAAAGTTCTGGTAAGGCATAGATGCCTGCCTGTCATCACAGGCATTAGACCTGCCTGCTAACAGTTGCCAGTGACTGAATCAGAAGGCAGTGTGGTCACTTTGGTCCCATAATGGCGTGGCCTCAAAGCCAGGATCAGGGTCAGCTACTCCATCATTCCCAAAGGACTGGGGCCGTGGAGAGTTTAGTGTCCGGAGTCCCTGGTGGCTCAGTCAGTTAGGCATCTGACTCTTGATTTTTCGGCTCAGGTCATGATTTCATGGTGCATGAGTTCGAGCCCCCCATTGGGCTCCGTGCTGACAATGCAGAGCCTGCTTGGGATTCTCCCTTTCCCTCCCTCTATGCCCCTCCCCCGCTTGTTCTCTCTCTTTCTCTCTCTCAAAATGAATAAACTTAAAAAAAAAAGGAAAGTTTAGTGTCTAAAACTGAATCACTGAGAATAGATACACTGCTCGGTCTGGGGCTTGAATATGGTGCAGGAGCCAGGCAAGGCAGCTACAGAAAGACATGAGTCGTCAGGCTGCTCCAGTATGATGAGTGCTCCATGAGAACTACCAAACTTCCTTCTTCACACCTCCAGTGGGAACACCACTCTTTCCCCCTTTTTGTTCAGGGAATTACAACAGTCCATCTTTATTGATTCCTTTGTACCAAGCACTATAGAATCCATGAGGCAGATATTACCACCATCTCCATGAGGACAAGGACTGTGTCTGTCTTGCTCTTTGTTACATCCTCGTCCCCTGTCACATAGCAGGCAGCCCCGTTTTGTTGACTAAATCAAAGAGGTAAGATGGGAATTTAATAGAGGAAAGAGTAGATAGGAGCTGTTAAGCCATTGCATGCCCTATGTGGGATGCTTGGCAGAGCCTGTAAAGATTCTTAGTTGTGCGGAACAAAAGGAAGAGAGGGAAAGAGGCAAGCCTGAGAAAGAAGACAATAGTGTGGTGTGGCAGAAAACCGGCCTCGGAGGCAGGAGATCTGAATTCAAGTCCCACCTTCGCCACGAGCTATGTAACTTCAGGCGAGTAACTCCTCGTTTCTGAGCCTCAGTTCCCATATCCATAAAATATCAGTATCAAGTTCAGCTGATTCATAACCCAGATCTTTACTGAGTATATACAATGTGCAAAGCACCGTTCTGAGTGCTAGTAATACTTTGGTGAACAAGGTCTGTGCTGTTATAGAGCTTATATTTCATAAGAAGGAAACAGTGAAAGGAGTAAAGTTCACAGACAGGGCAATCAGGTGATGATAGGTGCTATGAAAATAACAGGGTGATGGGATAGTACAGGGTGCTGGGTGTGGCCAGGGTGGTGGGAGAAAGCCTCTCTGATGGAGCACCTTTCAGCAGGGACCTGAAGGTAGTGAGCTGGCCAAAGGGTGGTCTGGCAGTGAGGCATTTCAAGCAGGAAGCCATAAAAGCAGAGCCAGGCAAGTTCACGCAACAGAAATGCTGTAACTCTCTTACCTTCTAGGATTCTAGAAATAGTGATGCGTTGCTTGTATTGTTTAGATCAGGGATTTGTATTGTGAAATGATTTGGTGGTGGTGAGGGACATTTGCTTCTTAATGGAGGTGGATGGGTGGTACAGAGTCTTTTTGGAGCCCTTGGATATGTCTGTCTCCCTGGCTCTCCCACAGTGCGGGCTGCTCAGTTTGCTTCCTGTGTAGATGCAGACTCCATTTTAGCTGCAGGCTCTAAAAGCAGACCAGAGAGAGGTGCCTCCTCAACTACTCAGCCACAGCCTTGGAGGCCCAGAAGCCCCCTCCCATCCCACCTAGTCTTCGTCCATTCTGACAAGCCAGGGCTTTGAGAGCACAAGATTCAGCTTTCTGTTTTCCTGTCAGAGCAGGAGCCAGAAAATGAAACAGGAAACAGAGCGGAAGAGGAGGGGGGTGGGCAGCAGAGAAGGGAAGGAAGGAGAAATTGCTGGAAAGTAGAGCTGAAGCTCTGGACAAAGTTCTACCTCGAACGGGTGACCGTCGAGCTGTCAGAAAACGTTCTGACTTGTCACAAGAGACTCCTGTCCTTTGTACAAATAGATTTTTGAGAGAATTTGGTAATGGATAGAGGGAACCTTAGGAAAGCATGTCTTTCCTCCCTTGTGAATTCACACAGCAAGTACAGTACATTGCTGGGTTTTGTCTTTGCAAACAGAGTGCTGCTGGGAGCCTTCTGGACTTCTAGAGATTCAAGCCACAACCTCAGGCCCCAGTCACGAGTGTGCACCACAGCTTTGCCGATTCACTCACAGGCCTCTGAAGCTGAGAACCAGTGGCACTGAAAAAACTGGGGTCAGAGTCCTCTCCATTTTTCCCCTTCTCCAACACAGGACTACAATGTGCTTTCTACCGGATCCACCTGACACACAGCAGTACCGAGGGCACCTTGCGTCTCAGAGCCTGAAATGAGTGAGAACCAGAAACTACAGTCCCTGGCCCCCCACGGAACTGAGGCAGGCTAGTTTTCTTTGCCTGGAGAGATAGCAACCATCCTTTTGTTCCCACCCACGTTAATAGCTGTGGCAGAAGATAAACCCCTCCCTCAGCCGGGGCTGTGGCCAGAGGCGAACCCAGACCCTAGCTCCGTTTAGAGGACCGATTAACTGAAACCACAGAAAGGCTGTAGAATCCTGAGAAACAAGAAATCCACCAACGGAGAAGGATTTATTATCTATTTCCTTTAAGGAGGGGTGCAAAATTGTTCTAACAGTTTCCGTTACAGTGGTGCCCACCGGCCGCTCCTCCCTAACAGACGGTTTTGTTGAGTTAGCTTCTTTTTCTTCTTCTTTTTTGGCCCCACTTCCTACGAGAGCAACTGCCTGAATGAGGAAGGAGAAGAGTCCTGGGGCGGGAGGAGGGGGGGGGGATGGGGACGAGGCGCATTCTCTTAAATTTCCTTCATAATCCTCATTAGCCACCTGAGGTGGGACTGGGGATCCAAGTAGGACACGAGGTCCCCGGTAGCTGAAGGGGAAAAGCTGGGGGATCCCCCACTTTCCTCACACCCAGGACGCAGAATGCCACTGCTGGCCACAGAAACCCCAAGGCTTTTTCTTTCTATTCAGAGAACATCTACTATGTGCCAGGCCCTGTGCTGAGCTGTTGTGGCCCGACAGCAGGGAAAGTGTGGCTCGCTCTGGCTTCTTCGAAGAGGTCGCGAGGCGGCCCGAAACTCCGAGAGCCTCAGCACACACACATCGGGAACTCAGTGGATGTTTGCTGGATGCAACCCGGGCAAGAGCGCCGACTCTGACACCGGCCGACTAACGGAAGGAGGGGGAGGGGACCTGAGGCGCGTAAAGCGCCAGGGGGAACTCTTCAGGTGTCACCAAGGCGGGAAGGTGCCAAGGCAGAGGGGTGCGGACTCTTGGGTCCACGCCGTCCCCGCCCCGCGCGCCCAGAGTCAACATGGCCGCCGCGGAAGGGGGCGGGGCAGCTCCGAGTCCGGGCAGGAGGGGGGCGGGGCCGCCTCGGCGGAGCCGGTGCGCAAGCGCGGGACGCTCGGGGCCCCGGATGGAGGAGCTGAGGTTCGGGCCCCGCCTAGGAGGTCGAGACGGGCCGGCGATGTGGACCAGGCGCCAGCTCGGGAGCTTTGGAGTTCTCGGGGGAGGGAGGTCGTCAAACGGAGGCCGAGGGAAATGAGGCGGAGGCCGCCGAGAAGCGAGGAGCCCCGCCCCTCCGCCATAGCGGCTTCCCGGTGCCGCCTCTTCCTTTACAGCCTCCCGCCCTGCCCTGCCTTCCGGCCTGACGCCTGGGCCCCGCCGGCCCCCTTGGGAGTAGCCCCTGAGCCATGGCCCCCTTTGGGAGAAGAGGTGCCCACTGTCCGTTTGGGACTGTGGCCGAAAGGAAAGGGTTAGAATGGGCTTCGGACTCGGCTGGGCTGGCAGAATGCGGCTTCTGGCTCGCGACAGCCAGCGAGGCCTCTGGCTCCGAGGACCCTGAGTCACGGAAATTTACTCACTCCACAGGGGATGCTCCAAGGGAGCATCCAAGGGTCCAGGGCTCCGATTCAGGCGTCCCCAGAGTCTCAGATAGGGCCCTCCCTGCCCTAAGCATACCCAGTAAGAGCATGCGCCGTCTTCGGACAAGTATTGGGCTAGGACTTGGAAGACCTGGGTTGTTGCCCTGGCCTGAAAGAGCACATCGCCTTTGGCCCGGGTGAGGGCTGGTCGGAAGACCATGAAGTTCCAGAAGGAAAAAAAAATGACATTCTCTTTAAATATAGCCTAGGCTCTGTCACTTGACCCCAATGAGCCTCAGTTTCCACATCCATAAACTGGCGATGGTAATTATACTGGCCTCACAGGGTCTAATGAGATCTCTGATGTAAAAGCCATGGAGATTTTTATTACCACCCTGGGTATATTTAACTCACGGGAAAATAGAGTAAAACTAGTTGCCCTGTAAATGTCCTGCTAATTCAAGAATCTGTGATTTCGCAAAGGGGCTGTTGGGAAGTGCGGTCTGCAACTAGCTAAGAAGGACAACTCACTGGTTTTGTTTTTTTACTTGATTTACCTGTAAGCTAAGAATAGGTTACAAGTCTCCTGTGGTCGCTGGGGCTAGAGCTTGCTTGACTCTGGAGAGAGGAAAGGAAGAATGGAAGCCTGGTGAAGAGGCAGAGGTGGGTTAACTCCTTTTCTGCCCCCAACTTTTTCTTCTGCATGTGAGTGGGGAGTGATGGAAGAGAAAAAGTGAATTCACCCCAGGATACAGAATCAGCCGCCGTGTGAGCTTGGCTGTACCTGTTTCTACAGTTCCTCTCGATTCAGCGAGTCAGATGCTGGAAATGTTGGGTAGATTCATAAACTACCGCGGCTCTTTGGTTTTTTTCAAAAGCCTGCCTTTGAACTGAATCCTGATGAGCAAACCGGTGTGGCGTTAACGGCCCCTCCCTTCCTTCAGGCCTCCTGGCGATGGAGTGAGCCACGGGCGCCCCCTTCTGCTGAGGAAAGGGTACTGTTGGTATTGGCCAACCTTGCTCCCTTTCTGGAGGAATTGTATTTTCCTATGACTTAGGTCCTGATCTTAGCATGAGATATGGTGGAAGGAATACTTAAGGCAGTGATTTTATATCCTGAGCCAATGAACTTGTGATGCCATATCTTGTTCTTGCCACTTTCACTCAATGAGAACACAGGCTTGAAATACCTGTTTCTAATTCCAGGCCCTGGGGATATAGTTGGGAGCAAGACAGTCAAAGCCCCTGCCCTCAAAAGCAACTTAAATAAGCAACAGCAGTAAAGATGACAAGGCAGAGTACAGTGAGAGCATATCTAATAGTCTAGTGACCATCTGAGAAGAATTCCAGAAACAGATGATACCTAAAGACGTATTAGGTATTGGCCAGATAAGAAAAGAGTCTTCTAGCCCTCTCCATTAATTTCTCAGTTTTAATATTTTTTTCCTTTAGGGATAGTTCACCCCAAATCCGTGAGCTGCCTCTGGTGCTCTTGCCCCCACTTCTGATTTCCCAGACTGGTGTTTGAATGTTCCATAGGAGCCTTTCCTACTTCTTTTAGCCCAAGGAACTGTTTTTAAAAAAGCCTTAAAATTCATTCCTTGTCTCAGAATGGCTTTGTAATTGTTTATACATTGCTGCCATTCCAACAAAGACATGGGGAAATAAGAGTTTTCTCCATCCCTAGTAGTCGACTCTGTCTTCCCCCTAAGTTTGTTTTAGCAATGTGAGCTGGCTAAAGTCCTGCTGAGTGGTGGTTTTCTTTTCCTTCTCCACTTAATTTAACAGACCAGCTGAACACACATCAGAGAGCTAGGCTAGAGTGTGTAGTCATTATGGTCTTCCAGTTTAGTTCTGTGCCCCACTTTTGGGACTCTGGTTTGGGATCTAGTTTATTATTCTGGGCAGGAGGAAAAGGGCACGCACCAAATAATAGCAACCACAACATGGGTTTGCTAGTACTTTTTCACACTTTCGTCCATTTCACCATCATGACAATTTTGTAAGAGAAAATAGTCTGATCCCATTTTATACATGAAGAACTGAGGCTCAGAAACACTAACTGAGACCTTGTGAGTGACAGAGTCAGGACTGAACCCAGGTCTTTAATTCCTGCATGGGGGCATTCAGAAGGCTTTTTAAAGATTTTCTGCGAGCTTGGCTACCAGCTTCATGCCCATCTGTGTAGAACTTTCCTGACAAGATAGTGCTTCAGAGTGACACCAAGTGGTCCCATCTGCCTTCGAGATGCTTGTCCCTCATCTGGGCAGTTAGGTGGTGAAGCTTGCCATGTAGTGTCGAAGGGGGAGTCTCCTGTGAAGAATGCTTTCAAGAATTTACTTCCGGCCCGCATGTGACGTTTTCTCCTTGGGTTTTGGAGTTTAGAAGCCCGAGGGAGCTTAGTCCTGGCAGCAACACCCCTGAATTCCTGCTGGTGAGAGGATGTGGCCCCTGGATCCGTCCAGGAAAGAGGTGCTGAGGTTTGCCATCAGCTGCCGTGTCCTGACTTTGGTGCTGCAGGTAAGTCTCTGATCTTTTGTCCTGCACATGCTGGGCTAGACACTAAGAATCATCCCCATTTTCTTTCTGCCTCCCAGGTGTACCCTTCCATGTGGTTGGAACCATAGACACTTATGCCTGATAACTAAGAAGTGGCTGAGACTCTTAGATATGGTCTTTTAAAAAATATTTATTTTTTAGTAAACATCATGCTCAGTGTGGGTCTCAAACTCACAACTCCAAGAACAAGAGTTACAAGCTCTACTGACTGAGCCAGCCAGGCCCCCCAGAAATGGTCTTTTAATCCCTTGTTTTACACATGAAGCAGCAGAGGCCCAGAAAGCTTAAATGGCTTCCCTAAAGACACATAGCAAGTTAGAGAAGGGCCAGAGTCAGACCCCAGAAGTTCCTAACTTCAGAGCTAGTGGTCTCTTTAATAGACCATGAGGTTCTGTAATGAGAGATGCCTTTACGACATGACAGCGCAAGGCATTGCCCTGAGTCCCTTTACCAGGAGACTGAGCACTGTGTCAGTCAGCTGAGTGCACGATCCTGAGACAATCTGTGTATATTTGGTTAGTCAGCAATGTCCCAACTCTTCCCCTTGGCATCTCCCCTTGATGCCTCACCCACCACAACCCTCAGAATGCATTCGCACCTTTACAACTCCCTTTCCCCTCCAAGGCTGCTCTTGATAAATATTTTAATCACATTTCACACATATAGGAATTCTATCTGGTGCCTAGCACAGTGCTCAGTGCTTAGTATGTTCTCAGTATGTGTTGTTGAATGTATGTCAACAACCTAGGGATGTTATGTTAGCATGATTATGTGTGATTTTTTTTTTTCTTCCCACAAATGCCACTTTCTCAGGCTCATAGCTGTTTCCTCTCTGGAAACCTCCTTTCTCCCTTCCCACACTATAAGGCATAGCAGCCTCCACTGGGCCCCAGGTTTAGTTAAAAGTAGCTTCAACTTGGAGACGAGGGCTGTTATCTGTGACTGTGTCTCTTGTCCCATTTGTTTTCACTGTTGAAAGTGGCCTGATAAACCGACCAAAAAGAGAGAGAGCCCTAAAAATGGAATTATACGGGGAAACTGACTCAGTGATGGCTTTGAACAGCCTCAGATGAGTGACTGGCAGGACTGTGAACTGGCGTCCAGGATAGGGAACCAGGACTAATTCTCATGGTGATCTGGAAACGAGTATGTCTCCTCTTCTCTCACTCAGCCACTACAGTTGTATTAAGGGCCTACTCTTTTGAGAACTGTGGTAGGTGGTGAGTATGGAAAGTCTTGGTCTCTTTTCCTTAAGTAGTTGACAATCTAATGATGCAAAGAGACATTTAACAATAATTCTGTTTCCTTATCCCTCTCTTTCCCCCAGCCCCCTTCCAGCTTTAAATCTCATGCCTCAGATGATACCCCCAGTTATCCTTCATTATTGCTGGCATCTCTGTTAATGACAACTCATTCCCCTCCATTCCTTGAAGGTTTGAGCTCCCGATTCACCGTTGCTCTTTCCAGAACTACTGTTGATTTCTTGGTGGTTTCAATATTAATAAAGCTGATACAACTAACCACTATCTCCTATCTTTCCGACTCACTCCCTCTAGTAACCCAGTTCTAACGGTTCTTCCACCCCCTCAGAACTTAAAATCCATTGGTTCTACTGCCGTTTCACTGTGCCTCATCCACCTTATGGCTTCCATGCCCCTTAGCCAGCTAGATTCCATGGTCTCCCAGGCATACACGCATAATTCGCTTGCTCCCTTCTCCCTGGCTTCGTCACAAGACAAAAGCCTAGCCACAGCTCAGTTTCATTCTCTCTATTCCTGCATCTGCCTAGAGAAGAACACACAACTGTCTTGACTGGTCTCTTTCTCTGCAAGGTCAGTGGCCCAAGTGAGCCCTTAGTGCTACCTGGCAATCTTATTTCCCTGGCCCATTCACCCTCCCGTTCTCTCAAATTGTTCTGCACATCCGAATCCCTCTGGGGAAATTTTTTAAAAAATGTCAATGCCCAGGGTGTGTCCCATACCAGTTCAGTCATTAACTCTGGGGATGGGACCCAGACCTCAGTATTTTTTAATCTCCTTGGGTGATTCCAGTGCGCAGCCTGTTTTGAGAACTGGGGTCATAGATGACTTATTTTACATGTTGTTTTTTTTCTTCCTCTTTGTTCAAGTCCCTAACCCCTTTTCCCCAGCTTGCTTCCCTGAGTGAAAACTCAGAATAATAGATGCAGTCAGAAGTGACCTTGTACCTGCTCCCACCACCTCCGTCACATGCGTGCATCTGCACCTCTGGGCCTTTACTGCTGAAGTGGGGCTGAAGCCAGCTGTCTTCTTCAGGCCCCGCTCCTCTACCAGCATAGTGGTTCCTACCCCTTTCTGCCTGCTGCAGCCATTCTCCCTGATCACCTGCAAACCTGGTGGTCGCCTTTCCACCGGATTGTTCCCATTCACAAACAGACACTTATCTCCCACATTGTCGTTCGTTACTACCCCATTTACAGCCAAATGCATCCAAATAGTTGTCTATTCCTGCAGTCTCCCTTCTCCCTTTCTTTGCCAAACCCAGTCCATGAAGTCTGCCGCGTCCTCAGCTCCACCGAATAGCTCTTGCGAACTTACCAGTGACCTACACGTTTCTAAACCCAGCGGCCATTTTTCAGTCCCCATCTTCCCTGACCTCCCAGTAGCACTTAACAGAGTTGATCACTCCCTTGCTTCACTGGGTTCTCAGACACCACTCTCTCCTGGTTCTCTTCGTACCTCACTGACTATTCCTTTTTTATCTTCATTCTGGATCCTCATTGTCCTTCAAGCCTCTAAATGTTGACACATCCAGGGCCCAGTCCCCTGATAACTCTAGCCATACTTCCTCTCCAGGTGATCGCATTCAGTCTCATGACTTTAAATACCCTCTGTGCACTTATGATGCTTCAATTTATGTCTCCAGCCATGACCACCCTCCTGACCCTCAGACTCCTATATCTCACTGCCTTGTTGACCTCTGCGCTGGAATGTCGAACTCAAATGTAGCTAGTCTAGAACTGAACTCCTGGTTGTCCGCCAACAAGTCTGTTCTTCCTCATTTTATTAAATAGTAATTCTTCCCTTCCAGTTGCTCAACAGCAATGCTAGTTCTCCTTCATCCCGCAGGCTTTCTTCAATGCCGTCATCCCAGATCACCGTGCAGAAGCCTTCTCTCCTCCTCGCCTCGCCCCCTCGGGCTCTGTGGACCAACTTGTGGAAGGTCTTTTGGGTGGCCTGTCTCACTGGGATGCTGAACACTTCCTGTTCATTGCCGAGCACGGCTATCTGTATGAGCACAACTTCGCCTTCTTCCCTGGCTTCCCCCTGGCTCTCCTGCTGGGAGCGGAACTCCTGAGACCCCTGCGGGCATTACTGAACCTACGGAGTTGCCTGTTGATCTCAGTAGCATTGCTCAATTCCTTGTTCTCCGTGCTGGCTGCAGTCGCACTTCACGACCTGGGCTGTCTGGTTTTGCACTGTCCCCGCCAGGCCTTTTACGGAGCCCTGCTCTTCTGCCTCAGCCCGGCCAATGTCTTCCTGGCAGCTGGTTACTCAGAAGCTTTGTTTGCCCTTCTGACATTCAGCGCCATGGGGCAGCTGGAAAGGGGCCGAAGCTGGACTAGTGGACTCCTCTTTGCCCTTGCCACAGGTGTACGCTCCAATGGGCTGGTCAACATTGGCTTCCTCGTGTATTCTCAGTGCCAAGGCTTTCTGTCTTCTCTCCTGGTGCTGAATCCTCTGAGACAACTCTTGAAGCTGATGGGCTCTGTGTTCTTCTCTGTGCTCATGCTTAGCCTTCCCTTTGCCCTCTTTCAGTATTATGCCTATACCCAGTTCTGTCTGTCAGGCTCAGCCCACCCCATCCCTAAGCCCTTGCTGCAGTTAGCTGTAGACAAGGGCTACCGGATCGTGGAGGGAAATGAGCCACCTTGGTGCTCCTGGGAACTTCCCCTAATATACAGCTATATCCAAGACGTCTACTGGAATGTTGGCTTTTTGAGATATTATGAGCTCAAGCAGGTGCCCAATTTCCTACTGGCTGCACCAGTGGCCCTACTGGTTGCCTGGGCAACGTGGACATATGTGACCACCCACCCTTGGCTCTGCCTTACTCTTGGGATGCAAAGGAGCAAGAAGAGTAAGACCCTAGAAAAATCTGATTCTGGATTCCTCAGCCCTCGGGTGTTTGTGTACGTGGTCCACGCTGCAGCACTGCTGCTGTTCGGCAGTCTGTGCATGCATGTTCAGGTGAGGTGGGCGCCTGGCTGGGATGAGGGGGTGAACACAGGCAGAACCCTTTGGCCCAGGGACAAGGAAGCCTGCTAACTTCCCATTTGAGAAAGCTGCACCTAATTTATTCGTTCCACAACTATTTGTGGGCTTTCTTTATCTGGATCCTGGGTCAGATCACTGAGGAATGGGACAAGTGAGATAAGATTGCTGCCCAATGGGTCTCATGGTAGAAATGGGGAGACACTTACCGGGTAAAATCCTAGTATAGTGGGATGGAAGAGGAGTTACTGTTTTGAGATAAAGTATTGTGGAAGCACTAAGCAAAAAGTAGCTAACAGACTGAAGGAGTTGAGGAGGGCGTCATATTAAGGCTAGGTCCTAAAGAGTAAGAAGGAATGCGTTTAAGAAGCAGAGGAAAACTATTCTGGGCAGATGAAGGGTATGTGCAGAGGCACGAGAGAGTTGTAGAAGGACCTGATGAGACAGTGATAAAGGAATAAGCGCAGAGAAGAACTCGGGACCTGTGCCTGCCGCACTGTTAACGGCCGGAGCGTCTGCCTGACTGTCGATGCGTTGAGGCAGTCTCTGCTCTAGCAGATGCCGCCTCCAGAGGAGCTCCCTTGTGCATGTTTGGGGTGGGGGTGGGGAGATAGGGATGGGAAGTGTTCGCTACTTTCTATTTTTTTAAAATTCTTGGCTGTGGCCCCATTTCCCACATAATCCCGAGGAAGTTTTTTCCCTCTGTGCGGGCCACTCCTTGGCAGTTTCTGCCTCTTGGAGGCGCCCATCGGCTGTTTGTGAAGTTCTCTGGGCTGTGTGAATAAGAGACACAGGGGAAATAGAAAGTAGCATTCTGTGTTTGTAGCTGGATTAACTAGTAGAGTGAGTGCCAGCAGAGCTTAGAGTTTCCAGCTTAGATGAGGGAGGCCATGTGGAGACTTGGCTCTGAACTCCCCTAGAAGGGAAAATGTTGAACTGCAGGATCCCTGGCCCCCTTTCCCTCTGTTTTGCCATTCCCAGGGGATGAGGGAACCACTTCGGGTCCCCAGAGCCCCATGTCACAGCCTAGTGTTTAGAGTCCAGGCCCTAGACTAACCTTGGACCCCTAGAGTTTTTAGTATTGATTGGCCCATTACTGTAGTAACTAGTCTGGAGCTGTTTATTTGTAACATCGAGGTCACCCGGCTGGTGTCACACACAGCTTCATCAGGCACATCCTAAGTTCTGCTGCGTCTCTGTTCCGGTACAATACATGTCTTGTCATGGGGTTATAGTTCACCTGGCAGCAGGGAAGCCCCAGGCTGGTCCAGTTTGAAGCAGTGACAGTCCAATAAACGTGGGTTTCCCCTCTTATGATTTTCAGGTTCTCACCAGGTTTCTAGGTTCCTCCACTCCTATTGTGTACTGGTTTCCAGCTTGCTTACTTCAGGATCAAGAGCCACTGCTGAAATCCCTAGAGACTGGGTCTTGGAAGCCGCTTGCAGGGGACTCCCCACCAGGACAAAAGGTCCCCAGGAATTCAATCATGGGACTTTTGTACAACTGGAAAACCTGTTCTCTAGTCACACGTTGCATTCTGAGCTACTTCCTGTCTTACTGGCTCCTGGGACTACTCCTGCATTGCAACTTCCTGCCTTGGACATGACCGGGAGTCTCCGGGGTCTGGAAGTACAGATACATACTGGGACTGTCTCCGCTGCCCTGGGACCCTTGCTCCGTCCATTAGAACGCCTCTGTCTCTCTCTCTCAACGCTGGTCAGGACTGGGAGAAGTATAAGCCACTGGAGAGCCCCTGCTGGTCCTGGCTGTGGCAAATTTTGAGTAGTAGCTGCTTTCTCTGTAAGTGAAGAAATCATACTCCAGGTCTAAAGTTACACTTGGATCTGTTCCCTCCACCAAGCAAAGCAAAGATAGTTACAGACTTACCACTGACCCACATGTAAATTTAAACGTAAATTATTTACATGTCAGTTTCAGCAAAGGCTCTAGCCGATAGGCTGGTAGTAGTCCACACGTGATGGCGGAAGTCTGAACAGGATAATGGCAGTAAGAAGCAAAGTGGGACCACCTTTTCAAAATGGGACATTGTTTCTGATTATTTTTTTCATGATTTCTTCATTTATTTATATGAAAAAAACTTGTAAAGATAAGCAAATTAAACTACTTTTGGTTATGCATGCAATGAATTACCTTTTTTAAAACACTACAAATTTCCTAGGGAAAAAGTCGTGGTAAAAAGAACATTGCACAAAGAGGCAGGAGACCCGGATTGTAGTCCTCTCAGTAAAACCTCATTTACCAGCTCTGTGACCTTGAGAGGGATTTCACAGCCTTAGTTACCTCTTCTGAACCTGGGGGAAATAACATTATCCTACTGGGAGAGGAGAGAGGATGGGCCATATAGTCTAGTAGGTCCCTTTCTGCTCTAAGATCTTCAGAGCTCCCTTAAGCCATGGGATCACCCCAGTCTCAACACTGCATGTAGCGGCTCCAACATGTGACTTTAGGAGAAAATATCCACTTCTCCTGCTTTCAGGACTTAGAAGAAATCCTCCCTCCTTAGGTGCAACTCTGAGGACTAACTCAAGTGACCATTCCTTTGAATGAGGAAAAGCAGTGACACCTGGCAAATAAGGTCGCCTGACCTGTGTAAGTAAATCTGTGCCGGGCAAGTAAAGGGTCAAATGGTGACTGGTTTTCCTGATGTGCCCAAGTGTCTGTGCTTGATTGGTTGGTGGACATGGGTCAGAGGAGCCAACTGGGCAGCATGAATTGAAAGATCGTGGGTAAGTACAAAGTTGGACGAAATGGTATCTTCCTGGCTCCCGTTTGGTTATGAGCCCATCACTGTACTGGTAGTAAGAGCACTGACCCCTCCTGAGTTATTTTTGTTCATTCTTTGAGCCAGGTAAGAGGCTCTGTATCATCACCACTCAATCCCTATTTAAGCTAAAAAATCCACCAAGCAGAAATTTCAAAGTAGATGGGTAATCATAGCTTCTGGAGAGCACGGAGAATTGGAATTTTGACATGCTCCCTCTGACCATGACAGAAAGCTGAACTTGCCAGCTGAAGGGAAGCTCCTGGCTGAGCCCCAACACCCTCTGTGGGAGCTTCTAGTCAGCCTGGCCAATAAGCATTTCCCATCCATTGCCCCAGCTTTAGCACAGCTGAGAGCATTTGGTCCAGAGTCAAATGCTTCTGAAAATGTACACACAGATCGGGGCAGCCCTCTGCCTTCTGCCAAGACACCCGAGTGCCCTTCTTGGCAAAAGAGGATAACCCCTGCCCTAGTGTCCCTCCAGTTGGCAGAAACCGTTCCCTCCTTCCTCACCAACAGCTGCAAATCCAGGGATTTCCACCCTGTGTGCAGGAAGACTTGAGGCCCTATTTCAGCTCTGTACCACAGAGGTAGGAGCACTAGATTCTTTGCTTTCCTGGATTCTCCACTCTACCTCTTTTTAGGGATGAGCAGGACTGGTTGCATGCAGACACAAATTCTTTCAAGGACCAGAAACCCTTTAAGTGGAAATCCCACCTTCTCCTCTAATAGGGAGGAACCAAACTCTGGTATTCTGCAAAGGCCATCATGGTCACCTTTGATCATAGAGGAGATAACTGAGGACCCCAGCTAGGTGGACACACCTGGTATGTGACCTGGAGACTTCTCTCTGACCTTGGCGGGATCTAGTTGCTATTCTCCAAGGATCTAAGGAATGGGCTGATTTTATGGCCAGCAGCTGTCCTTTTACCATCCTATTAACAGTCTTTAATAGTCTGCGAGAGGAGCATGAAGGGCCCAAGGCAGGAAGCTTCCTGTTTACCCTAAGGTCTAACAATGCTGCAGCTGGGTTGGGCGTCTACAATTTCAGAGAAAAGTCATTTCCTTCTGAGACCCAGCTAAAACAGAAACCAGACGCTTCATACACCTAAGAAGTAGATGCTTTTTTGTTCTTTAATGAAGGTGGGAGGAGAGGGAGTGTTTGACATGTCTTTACCAGTCCCCTTGAGGAAAAATCACTTCTTTTCTTGAACAGACCTTCTCACCTTCATCTAAAAATGTAGTGTGTGCAGGCTCAGAGGATTTGAAATTGATTGGTTCTTTAAACAATTGTTTATTAATGCCTATTTTAGGGACTAAAGGTGACTCGCTATACCTCCTGTCCTCAAATAACTGTCTAATAGAGTTGGTAGCAGATACACAGAAACGTTAATCAAGATAGAAGCTGGTAAATTCTGGAGACTGAAGGGCCACTTGAACTTCTTGCTCTATAGCTCTCTACTTGAGCTTTTTATGATTAGGAAGAATTAAAGTTTTGCTTGTATGCATAGGAAAAGGTAAGTGAGGTACAGATTAAGTCCTCTGTAAATTCACACAAGATGGTGATCCTTTCCAGTTTGTAATACTTGAACAGACTTGGTGGGGAAATAGCCTTTGAGCTGGACTCGAAGGTTGGAGAGGATTTGAGAGTTAAGGGCAGAGAATGAGTATAGGAAGCAGGCCACGGGAACAGGACAGGGAGAAGCTCAGCTTGAGTGGAACTGAGATATTGTCATTGAGATCTGTGTACTGATGCATAAATGTCAGCCAGATACTGAATCTCTGAGCCTCAGTTTCCTCATCTGTGAAGTGAGGATAACACTGTCTACCTCATAGATACAAATAACATCATCTCTCTCCTCAGGTGGTTGTGGAAACAAAATGAAAAGTGTTTAGAACAGTCCAACAAAGGAATAGCTGCACTTCAGACATGCTGATCTTACAGTGACTGCACATTCAACACATTCATATGCCAGGAAATGTGGAACCGGAGGCAAGGAGAGAGGTCAGGGAGCCATCCACACAGACATGATCTTTACAGCAGCAGCCGTGATCTTGGATGAGACTGTCAAAAAGAAAAGTGTAGAGGGGCGCCTGGGTGGCTTAGTCGGTTAAGTGTCCGACTTTCGCTTAGGTCATGATCTCACGGTTCGTGGGTTCGAGCCCCGCGTCGGGCTCTGTGCTCACTGCCAGCTGAGAGCCTGGAGCCTGTTTCAGTCTGTGACTCCCTCTCTCTCTGACCCTCCCCTGCTCACGCTGTCTCTCTCTCTCCTAGAAATAAATAAAAAATATTAAAAAAAAAAAAAAAAGAAAGAAAAGTGTAGAGACAGAAGGAGGGCCCGTAAGATCTTGGGCAAGTGATTCAACTTCTCTAAACCTGTTTTCTCATCCTGGAAAATGGGGGTGATAGCAGCAACCACACAGCGTAGTTCTGAGGATTAAATGAGACACTAGATAAAGCACTAGCGTGGCACCTGGCAATAGTAAGAACTTCGTGAATGGTAGCTATTTATCATCAAACACTTAAACATCATCATCAAAAGACTAGAAAAAAATAGTATCGGGGAAGAGAGTTTCAAGAACAAAAAGATGGTTACTAGGATCACACACTGTTAAAGAAAGATTGAGGAAAGTTATTGGTTTAGGGATTAGGATAGACTAGCTGCTGTAATAAGCAACTTCTAAAACTCTGGCTTTATCTACAAGCTCCTTTCTTGTTTACATTGTAGTTTGGTGGAGGTTTGGAGAGGGAAGCCTCTTCTATCTAATCATTTGGAACCTGGGCTTCTTCCATTTTGTGACTCTCCCTTCCTCTAGGGGTTCAGAGTCCTCTGCTTTCAAAGAGGTTGTAAGAGGCCCAGCCTAAAAGAGACGCACATCACTTGCATTTCATACCATTGGCTAGAACTCAGTCTCATGGCCGCATCTAACTGCAAGGGAGGTGGGGAAGTAGGGCTCCCAGATGAAATACAGGATGCCCAGTTAAACTTTAATTTTGGGTAAACAAATATTTTTTCAGTATAATTATGTTTCAAACGTTGCACAGGACATACTTCTACTAAGAAATTCTTCGTTGTTTATCGGAAATTCAGATTTAACCAGGCAGCCTGTATTTTTATTTGCTAAATCTGGCAACCCTACTGGGAAATAAAGTCTGGATGTGGGTTTAGGAAGAAGAAAATGCAGATATTTGTGTCACAGACTGCCTCAGTCTGTCTTTCAGAGCCAAATACCTGTTTTTGCTCTTCTCACAGAGAAAACACACCCCTTCCCAAGGGAGATAACCCAAAATCCCATTTAGTGACTATATTCAGCTCCACATCTCTCCATCTTCTTCCGATATGGTTCCTTATGAACTGGGGGAAAAAAAAAAAAACATCCAGTGGCAGCACAACAATAACATTCATATAAGTATCTATTGAGAAAAGGAAAGAATTGAAGACATAGAGCAGTCTCTGATCCAAAGCAGTTCTGAATCTCCACTGGTCAGACTGTCAAAGTCCTCTTCCCAGGGGCTGGGGACACTCCTTGATTAGGCCCTGATTTGTTCCAGGAGGGACCCCTTTGTGCATTGTTCTCCATGCCTGATGGCTGTGCCCTCTTGCTCACTGGTCATCCTTCAGGGCCACATCTGAGATGGGCTTGGGGGAGTCTGACCTCCTGGGAGAATGTGCAGGTTTCACAGTCTACTTGCTGCTGGTGTAAGCATAGGGACCGAAAAGCTATTTTAAATCTTGGCCAACCGGGGGCACACCGTGCACGCAACTCACATGCACTTAAAATAAACATAACATAAACCTTACCATTTTAACCACTTTTAAGTGTAAAGTTCAGTGGCATTAGTATATTCACATTGTCATGCAAGTCACCACCGTCCATCTCCAGAACTTTTTCATCTTCCCAAACTAAAACCTGACACCCATTCAGCAGTAACTCCCCATTCCCTCTACCCTCCCGGCCTCTGACGATCATCATTCTAACTTTCTGTCTCTGTGAATCTGGCCACTCCTTCACAACATTTGTCCTTTTGTGACTTGCTTATTTCACTTCTCATTACATCTTCAAGGTTCATCCATATTGTGTGTAGCATATGTCACATTTTCCTTTCTTTTTGTGGCTGAATAACATTCCATTATATGAATACACCGCATTTCACCTTTCCATTCATCTGTCAGTGGATATTTTGTTGCTTCCACCTTTTGGCTATTAATGAATAATGATGCTATGAACACTAGTAGACAAGTGTCTGTTCAAGTCCCTGCTTTCAATTATTTTGGGTATCTACCCAGAATTGGAATTGCTGGGTCACGTGGTAATTCTATGTTTAATTTTTGGAGGAACTCTCATGCTGTTTTCCACAG